TAAATAACCCTACCACATATTTCAGAAAAAAAATAAATCACCTTATCACAGCTCATACTTATTAATGTAGGAAAAATTAAGAGTAACAGATGAGAGAGAAGAACCAGTTCCAAATTTATTTCTATCTTATTGCAAAAGATATTGCATTGGTGGTCCTTTAATCCACCTTAAGTCTTTCTAGAGCAAAATACTTAGAGAGGGTATTCTGTTGTCTACCTATGCTGATTGTAAACAAAAAACTTCAATTGGTAGGTTATTTTCAAGTAAGAGAGTTTAGCCATCACCAATACCGTGTCAAAAGCTAAAATGTACATGCATTCCAAATAAGCATGGTAAGGAAACCCTTAACCCTAAGATATTTCATGGGAAGACTCGACTTGAGACACTCAATCCTAAGATAAGAAACGAAATAGGTGTCTGAGTGGGTTTCCAGTTACCAAGCAGTTTAAGTCACAGAGTTGAACAGTTTAGAATCTAATAATAAAAATCTCCATTAACCCCAAAAGCAAACAAGTAGTTGCCGCTTATCTATTAACGACAAATCAAACCGTCTTTAAAAATAAATTAATCCAAAAATAAACCATAACCAAAAATAAAATACTCTGTTTCCACGTTCCAATTACAGAACTCAAAAGCTACTATATCATACACACATCCTTAGATACAACCACATATCCCGAAAAGCTAAAATCCCAATCGTAAGTTTCACAGTCCATATTGTTTGAACTCAATTATCAAACGATAAGTAAAAACAAGATCAAAATTTAACAAGAGATCGTAAGTTTCCTTGACAACAGAAAAATAAGATCAAAATTTCGAAATTCGAACTCATTAGTACACGGATCTAGATAGACAATTGACGAAAACCTTGGAAGCAAATACAAGAACCAGACGAGAGATCTCAATTGAAAGATTGAGCGAAAACACATTACCTCATTCAATTCAGCATTGCAGAGAAAACGAAAACGTTATAGCGAGAGAATCATAGTTGTGATTTATGAACGGGAAGGAGGAATTGGAATCGTTTGCTTTGTCTGTAATAACTCCGGAGCTGCACTGGATTTGTTTAGTCCGTTACTGAAACCCCAAAAAGGTTCTTCTACGGTTCACTTCTGTTTCATAACCTCCATGGGCTTCTCCCCCACTACTTTACATGAAGCGTACACATACGTTGTCCCGTCCAGTCCCGACCCACAGAACACAACACACGTTTGGAGTATTTTTGTTTTTTATAAATTTGTTTTTTGTAAATAGATTAAAAATCATGAATTAAAATAATTTATAAGTTTAAGAATTAGATTTATGAAAAATTAACATATAATTATAGCATAACGTTCAAATATCAAATAATAGGGTAGTATAATTTTTCACTCCTGCTTTCTGAATCTTCATTTTTAACCTTCTAAAAGAAAATTCATAATAATAAGTTATTATTTTAATCTCAATCAAATTATTTTATTAATTTATTAAATTTTTAATAGTAATTTGTTAGTTATAAATGGCTTCTTACAAGTTCAGATATTATAATAATAGGGTATTATAATTTATTTCTGTAAGTGGTTTCTTACGAATTCGGGTGATAATCGACGTCCGCAAACCTCTGTTTCGGAGGAAGAAACTTAATATGAGGAACAAACAATCCACGTACACAGTATTTAGGTAAGAACGACTACCTCTGTTTTGCTTCCTATGTGATCGACTGGGACACTCAGATACGTTTTGCAAACTACACATTCATGTGAGCACGCCACCGCTACAATAGGGCTGGGATGAGTCGCTCCGTGCAAATCTCCGACGGAATCCTATCCCGACAAGCCGATTACTACATAACAAATTTGGGGGGGTGGGGGGGGGGGACTCCTAATATCAAAGGCGAGTATCTCGAGAGGCACAGGAAATAAGGAGAGCATTTCAAAATGTCAACCTCATTCAAATCTCCCAGATTCATGGGAATCCCATAATATCTCAGCGGAATTTCAACGCCAAAGACGCGTGGATCCCATAAACTATGTTTTCGAGTTGGACCGAATCAAGGATGAGGACTAAAACCTATATGTGGACCGAACCAAACTGATGGAGGCTGAGGACTTAAGCCTGACCTGGGATGAAAGTAAAAAAACAACCCCCACCAATTCCCTGGGGGGAAGACCCTACTTGAGATTTCGGTACTAAGGGAGGAAATAGAGAGAACTCCAACCAACGTTTACTTGAGAAATCGGTGAGGCCTGGAACTCAAGCTCGTTGGAAGCCATGAAAATCATAAGTTGGAATAGCCAAGGGCTTAGCAACCCTCGAGCAGTTATAGCTCTTTAGAAGCTAGTGGAAAGTTTCAGCCATAAATTGTGTTTTTTTATGGAATCATTAGTCGTAAAAGAGAAAATGGAATGAGTTAGGAAGAATATAGGCTTTGAGAATGTCTTCAGGGTCGATAGAGTTGGGAGAGGTGGGGGTTTAGCATTGTTATGGCATAACTCGTTGGACCTGACTCTACTGTCTCACTCTCATAACCACATTGATGTAAGAATATCATAGAGGGTTGATGCAGACTAGTTATTGACGGGCTTTTATGGCATTCCTCATCGAAGTATGTCTGGAAACATGGCAGTCCTCCATGAACTATTATAGGAGACTTCAACAATATCGTGTCATTTGAGAAGAAACATAGCAAAGCTTTGCCATCACAAA